TCTTCCTTTGTATTTCCATACTTGAAAACTCAACCTCCTTTGCCTTTCTGTTATCTAAATGTGTTCTGTTGTACATAGGGTTTTCAGAGGCCTGCTGTTTCAGAAGTGGATGGCCAGTCCTTCTTCCTAGTCTGTCTTAATGTGAATGTTCCGATTTAGAGAATTCTTGACTTACTACTGTATAAGTCTATGATTTTACACATCAGTAGCCCCTCCTTTGTTCAGCTCCTCCTCTAGGTCCTTTGGGTTTGGTGGTTCACTGGAAAGTTTCCCAGAGACACCCATCAGGGGAATAACTCAAGTGATGGTAGTTATGCAGGCCAATTTTGCAGATTCTGTTAAGTGTTGTAGACTATCTGTTGAAGGAAGGCATCCCAAGGTAAAAGAGAGCTAGCACGGAGGTCTCATGAATTTATATAAGCCTCTAGTAGGATGGGGCTTATACCCCATCTTAATTCTTTCTCTTTAAATACTTCAGCACAAAACAGTTAATCATTTTCTAGGAAAGACATTTTGAATGATAAAACTTAGACACCTGGAATTAGGCACTGAATATTTGTTGGTTGAATGAATGAACAGAGGATATTATATATTACTTGTATTCTCTGTAAAATATTAGCTCCATGAGGGTAGAGAGGAACTTGATAGTGAGAGAAATCAGATAATATTTTCTGGCTCATAAATGTATAGTGGAAAAATCTATACTGTTGTGGGACTTTTTATTCCTTTTCTACACTTGTTGACTCATCTTCCCATCTATCCTGACACAGTTTATAGTTTCTAGTTTGGAAGCAGGAGTGGCATCCACTTCCTAAACAACATGCCTCTGGAAACTCTTTGAACTTTGATAAGTGTAGAACTTTGATAGTTGTAGAGAGCCTTCAGACCTTTTGTTCTTAGGGCCCCTCTGAGTTGTGCTGACTGGAAGGCAATCAACAACAACAGCAGAATAACACAGTAAACTCCTAGCTAATCTCCCAATCTCCAAGTTCATGTCTGATTCTTTCATGTTGTCACTGGAATGAACTGGCTAAAAGACAAAAACAAACAGAAAACACAATGGCCTTTATAAAAAACTATCTGCATATGTGACAATGTTATGGGATTGATGTAATTTTAATTGCATTAATATAAATTATAGAATTGCTAGGAGCATCTTATTTGCCTCAGAATAATGTAGAGGATTGCTACTGGCCTAATGACACCTTGATCCTCCTTGCTTTCCTTTGCAAAGTTTCCTCTATTAAACCTTATTTTGCTTATATAAGAAGAAGGAAAAAAGTGTATGGATATAGGGTAAGTGGGTAGGAGTGTGGGTAGATCAGGATTGGCCATAAGTTATTGTTTGCTAGAGCTGCATGTTGAGAGTGTGTGTGTGTGTGTGTGTATATATATATATATATATATATGAGAGGGGGTGTGTGTGTATGTTTGTGTATCAACTCTCCATGGGTTTCTGAGGCAATAACTCCTCGAAAGATGAAGGATGCCTTCTCTCATCACAGACTCAGATTCTCAAAGATAAAAAAAAAACCCTCAAACTCATTTCTCTTAATTTGGAACCTACTTATAATTGACCTTTTGGTGGGTTTTTGGAGGCTGTAAATTTCATGAGAGGAGATTGCCAATCTTTCTCCCGCTTCCAGAACCATTGGTGAATTCTAATGACCAGAGGTGACATCTTTGGAATAGCAGCATAACTCCCTGCAGATTATGCCTACACTCACAGAACAGGGTGGTAGATTGGAATTACTCACCTTTTGGATAATGTCCATAGAGTCAGAACCAGCTGACCGCTTCAGCGAGTTCTCAAATGCTATAAATCCCTTGGGAAGAGATTGCCTATCTTCCTCCCTCAGAACATCTGGTGAATTAGAGACTCGTATTATTCATGTTTGTTCAATATTACCTAGGATAAAGCTTTTATGTATGTTCAATATTACCTAGGATAAAGCTAAATATGATACTAATTCCTCTTCTTGAAAGTCTTTACTGACTTCTCAGGCCAGTAAGTCCAAGCTCAACTGTTTTTAAAATCCAAATTGACTCCATGCCCAGCCTCGATTCTTGCCATTCATCTTGTTATACCCTATGTCCAGCTGTACTGATTTTGTAATTCCCTGAATTAAAAATATTCTGTGTTTCTCTGCCTCTGTATATGCTGTTAACTCAGTTGGAATGCCGTTGCCCCCCCACCCCCGGCCTTTGTATACCTAAGTCAGGTATCTTCTCCCAGAAGCCTCTCCTGAAGAGAATGGAATCATTATTCTCATACTTGTTGATGTTGTTATTTTTTACCATTGAGTCACTTATGACTCATAGCGACCCTGTGTACAACAGCCCTAAACCCTGCTCTATTCTTTGCCAACCTCACTGTCTCTGACATACATACTCCCATTACCCCAGTCACTGAATGAATCCATCTCGTTGAGGGTCTTCCTCTCTTGTGCTATCCCTCCACCCTCCCAAACATGATATCCCTCTCCAAGGACTGGTCCCTCCTTGCATTATGCCCAGAGTATATCAAATGAAGCTTCAGAATCCTTGCCTCCAAAGAGCAACTCTGTTTCACCCTCTCCAGGATGAACCTGTTTGTTCTCCTGTCCATGGTATGTATATTCAGCACTCTTCTCCAGCACCACAGCTCAAAGGCATCAGTTCTCTTTCTATCATCCCTAGTCACTGTTCAGCTCTCTGATGTATAGCATGCAATTGCAAAGACTATGGTCCGGATCAGGCACACCTTAGTCTCCAGCCTGACGTCGTTGCTTCTTAGTACTCTGGAGAGGTCCCTGACAGCTGACTTTCTCAAAGCAATTCATCTCTTGATTTCCTGGCTTCTAGTACCAAGAGTGTTGATTGTGGAGTTAAGCAAACTAAAACTGTTAACAATCTCAATCTCTTCGCCATCCATCATGATGCTGCCAATTGGCCCAGTGGTGAGAATCTTTGTTTTCTTGATGTTGAGCTCCAATCCATATTGAAGGCTGCAGCAAGCGCTTCAGGTTCTCCTCATTTTAATCAAGCAGTGTTGTGTCGTCTGCATAATGCAGTTTGTTGATGAGTCTTCCTGCAATCCTGATGCCACATTCCTCCTTGTACAGCCCAGCATCGCGGATGATCTGTTCTGCATACAGATTGGAAAAGTATGGAAACAGAATACATCCCTGGTGGACATCTTTCCCAATTTTGAACCATGCAGTGTGTCTCCTTACTCTGTTCTGATGACTGCCTCTTGGTTCAAGTATAGGTTTTGCATAAGCACAATCAAATAAATGCTCTGGGATTCCCATTCTTCTCAGAGTCAACTGTGTAGTAAATTTTTGTCTTCCACTCTGGACTCTCAGCTTCTTAAAGATGGGGCAATCTGGCCATCCCCTGTATCCTTAAAAGTGCTTGGTACTCAAATACTTGTTGAACAAAGGGTGTTAGTCTTTTAAATCCCACACTCAACATGGTTGCATAATTTGTGCCCAGTGTTTTTATGGATTGAATGTTGTTATATGTGAACAACTTTGCTTGGTGGGAAAGTTATAAAAAGCTATGTTTCCTGTAGTCTTGAGGTGGGATAGTAGTTTATGGTACAGATAGCTGGTAGAGCTGGGTTGTCATTGAATTCTTTTCTTCTCAGAAGCTTTTGTTATTTTTCTGTAGGCATGAGTTGGAATTGGAGCCAGTCCCTCCACCTGATTGCAACCAGCATCATGTGGTTACTAATTGCCCTTCATTCACCTATTGATGCCGCCCAGAAAAAAACGCATACAGGGTTCTCGGAAAGCTCCACTGCTATTTCACCAACAACCGCTGGAGGGCTCCAAACACCGCCATGGATCTCCACAGCCTCCCAGCCACACTAGACAGGTGCCCAGCAAACCCATTGACCACAATGCCGTCACTTCTTGGGTAGGCACACAGTATTCTTACTTTGTCTTCTACTCTGTTAGGCAGCTTAGCATGCTGATTTTTCTGGTCTTGAACCTCCAGAAATAAGATTGATAGTAGATATGGGCAAGGAGGCCATGAACTCTTTTTCTGTTGCTTAGCTTTTTCTCTGTTTTGTCTCTTTAAGCTCATTTCCCTTTGAGACTTGAATTGGTTGGAATTGGAGCCTTTGCTCCCTCATCCCCTGAAAGTTCAGTGTGAAAAGTTTACTCTTTAGGAGATGGATGAGAAATGATAAGACACGAGAAATGAGATTGTTTCCTAAGTCTCATAAGAAATGGGGAACATTTGACTAGGTACTCTTTTTCATGTTTAGTGGATTGAGCCTTAGGAAGGAGGAATATCAAAATCACAGAAATCGTTTATGTCATATTTTCAGTTTGGGAGCCTCTAGGAGAGGGTATAGTTAATATATGACCAACAGATAGTATCACAAGAGGATCACATAAAAACACAAGCTCTGTTTGGGTTTTTTTGTTTGTTTTAATTTTATTTTTTTATTTGTGTGTGTGTCGAATCTGACTGGTACAGGAAGAGATTGCTCCTCTTTCTCCAACAGAGCCCCTGGTGGATTCGAACTGTTTACCTCTGGCATTGCAGTGCAGCTTCTTGCCACTAGGCCACTGGAGCTCCCCCACAAGCTCTGTTTAAGAACGCTAACTAAATATAACTTGTTGAGGCATACTCAAAAGAACCATAATTCTTGCTTTAGGATTGTGGAAGAAACTTAAACATTAGACTTTTGTGTAATGATAGGAATATATGTTTACTAAGTAATAAATAAGTGCCAGGCCCTCATGGCTTAACATAAATGATCTCATATTCTTTTCCTCTCAGTTAACTATTTACTGATGGCCTTTTTAGAAGTAGGCACTCTGCAACATGTTTGGGACCAGTGGAGGACACAACTGCTAGTTCAGGCCCTTATGAAGTTTAAAGATAGACCGTTAAACAAGTTATAATTGTATGGTATGATGAAGTGAAGGAGACAATGTCCCTTTTATTATAAATGAAGAAACTGAAAGCCAACGAGATTTAATAACTTGTCCAAAACTATTACTGACTCATTAGACAGACTGTTTTGTTTCTGTATCTATGACTCTTGTTCGCCCCTATTTAGGATTATGGTCATTTAGTAGCATTCTGAATATACTTACCTCACCTCTAGTTTTACCTTGGTTATTAGTTGTCTCTCTTTATCTTTTTTTTTTTTTAAATCATGTTTTCTTTTCTTTTTGATCCTTAGGTATTGCCTCAGTTTGATACAGCGGCAGAAAGCGGTTTCCATGCTTACCGGAAACGTCATCATCGAGACAAGGCAAGACATTCAAGTCGAAAATCTACTACCTCCAAGTTTCCACGTCTGACTTTTGAGAGTCCACAGACTTCTTCCGATTCAGCAACGTTGGGAATCCCACTAGTCAGAAAAAATCCCAATCAATCAGAAAATCACTTTTCCAGAAAACCGTTAGTTCCAATGTTCAGTCCTCAAAGCTCTGGGGAGCTGTCAGTACACACACTTCAAAACCCAGCTTACATGTTTATTCCACCAGATAGCCAGACTCCAGAGTCTTCTCCTGTGAGGGAAGAACTCACTTCCCCAAATCAGAGGGAAAACAACATTCCAAGTTTTCCCCTTCATCCTAGTACTCCCAAGAGCCCAGAGCCTGACCCTATTCTGGGTAAAGACACTCCTGAGGAAAAGTATGGGATACAGGTCACTTGGAGAAGACAGCAGCACCTGTTGACTTGCCTCAGGGCAAAAGGGAAACTGAGCAGAAGCCAATTCCTTGTAAAAAACTGAAATCAGAGTTGCTCTTTATTAAGGAACTCAAGAAATTGACTGATGGTTTTTTAGAGTTGCTTCACTTTTCTGGCTTAGAAGAGAGTGTATCAGCAGAGCAAAATATAAATTAGCACTAATAGGGAAAAGATATTTTAACTTGAGTGCTGAAGTTAAAAGGAATTCAACGCCCTCATCTGCTTTTTAAAATAGGTAGTGGCATAAACCGTTAATTTAATGTAAAAAACGGTTCACTTTATATTTTTCTTATGTTAGCTCTTTAAAATTTTCACTTACCAACAAAGTGTATATCGAGAGAGAGTTAGTAGAAAAGTTTCAGAGAATCCAGCTTTTTACTGTCAGTAATGGAACAATACTGCCCTGCCCACAATAGTTTTCTGGTTTCTTTTAATTAATGCTTAATTTTTTTGCCATCTCATCCAAAAAATATTCATTCTACATTTCTGAGTACCAACTCTTGTGTCAGGCTCAGTCCACCTTCTGGTATGAAATAAGGAACAAGGTGGAAAAGTACTCATTTTGACATCTTATGATTGAGTTACTACTACTACAACTTTTGCTCCTCTGCTGAAAAGGAAAGGCAGGCAGCCCATTTTAGTGAATACTCTGGGAAAGAAAGAGGCCATAGGTAAACTACTTAAATTTGCTAAATTTCAACCTTTCATTCCCAGAGAAATCTAAACATATGACAAAGAATGGGGAAAATGTTTTCCTCTAGTAACTGTTTAAAATGTATGTAAATAAATGCAGAACATTTTCGGAGAATATTACTTCTATTGTAAATAATGCAAAAGAGATATCCAGTTAGCAAGATAATGTCTCTTGTCCATTTACTCATAGAAATAGCATCTCATTTAATCCCATTTATTAAAGAACTAATAAATGTGTCAGGTCCAGCCCGAGGTAGACCAAGTAGGAAATAAGGTCTTCTTATTTTGCCCAGAGAATGAACTATGCTCAGAGTCACACAGTGAATGGAGGCAGACCCAGTGAGTTCAATGCCCTGACTCCGATTCACTGCTGTCAGTTGGTTCCATCCTAGGCTATAAATCATTATGGAAGGATATTGCCCATTTTTCTCCTGTGTGGCTGCTGGTGGACCTTTCATTTGGCAGCTGGGAAAGTTATGCACTGTTCTGCCAGACTTTTCAATGTTCTCTCTCTACAGCCCTACTTTATGCCAAGTTCTAGGCCTCTTTTAAAGTCTGCTTCTGGGCTGAAAAATGAGTGTGGCAGCAATTTTGACCTCACAGTCCATTACATTTGGAATGTCAAGTCACTACAATAACTTGCCCGAATAGAGGGATTATAGTAATATATAGGGAGCCCCACAGGAAGTTGTGCTGCTTAACCTAAAGGCTGGCTCTCTCTTTAGTTTAAATCCACCAGCAGCTCTGCAGGACAAAGATAAGCCATCTTGTGTGTGGTTTACAGTCTCTGCAAACCTGCTGGAGGGTCAGCTATGAGTGCTTCCCTGCTCTGTCTAGTGTGAGAAGTTTGGGGATTTTTGTTTTGAAGATAGATTATTTACACTCTGGTAGTGTAGTCCAGAGCATACACTGCTAAACAGAGGCCATGTCTTTCAAAATTTGACAATCTCCTCTGGTAAAGATGCTTTTTATAGCCTTGAAAAGCGATGGAGGCTTGCTATGATTTGGAACCCACTCATGGAAAGTGAGCAATAAAATATGTAAGTTGGCGGTAGTGGTGATTGTTGGAGATAACTTGTTGGAAACTCACTCATTGTCCAAAAGTTGCAACTAATACCTGACCCTCCATTGAGTTTCCAAGACTAAATCACATGGGAAGAGATTGCCTAGCTTTCCCCCTTGCAGAGAGGCAGTGCTACTCCCTCCTGAGACCATCAAAGAGCTGCTGTGAAGTATCATCAAGTCAGAACCAACCCATAGCTGACCCTCCAGCGGGTTTTCAGAGGCAGTAAATCTCACAGTGGTAATGGGGAGAATGCCCTTCTTTCTCTGGTGGACTTGAACCACAGAACTTCAGGTTAGCAGTGCAGCACTTTGTTAGTAGGCAAGCCACCAGGCTCCCAAGAGCTATTACAGATTTAGGAACCCGGTATGGTTTTACTGCCTCAGAACCCCAATGGAAGGTGGCTATGATTCAGAACTCTAGTGAAGAACAGCAAGTGAATACAGATTTAGATAGTTGATTCAGTTATGGCATGTGGATGTTTTCAAAAGATATGTAGGCTGTAGAGAGAGGCGGAGGAGATGGAAACCGTTCCTGGGCCCCTCTGTGTGCTTTATTACTTAGCAGGTCTAGGCATGTTTTAAAAGGTCGGGTTGCAGTAGAGACTACGTAAAGTCTTGCTGGCGAGAGCACTGTGGGTCCGGGAAAGGCCTCTGGAATGCGGAAGGACTCAGATCGCGAGGAACTAGCCGAGGTCTGTAAGTCATTACATCACAGACCTGGAAGCGCCGTGGGTGGTCCCTGCGCAAACGGCGGGAGCCGAGGAAGCTGCTGCTTTGTAAAGAGTGGGCGGCGCCTTGGACCAACTCACCCCCCTGGAGCCAACGCAGCTGATGAGAACATCCTTCCCACCTGGTCCCTAGTCTCCTCAGCACTCCAGGGGACTGAGCCCTTGCCGTCCCCACCTCAGCTCCACACCAAAAAAACCACTGCCATTGACTATTACTATTTGTAGGGACCCTTCATTGGTTTCCAAAACTGTACATCTTTAGGGAGAGCACTGCTCATCTTTCTCCGCGGAGCAATAGGAAGATTGTTGTGTAACGGAGTGTTGGGACCAAAACGGAGCCGAACCTGCCGCGGCTTTTCAGAGGCAGTTAATTGGCTTGGAGAAGATGGCCTATCTGTCTCTCGCTAAGTAGCTGGGGGATCCGAACCGTGTGCCTTCGTGATTGCAGCGCATCTCCTTACCCCTGGACCACTAGAACTCTAGCTTTTCGGTTAGCAGCCAGAGACGTAGCACACTAGGCCACCAGGATGCCTTCACATCAGCGCAGGCGCTGTTCATTCCGGGTTTCGTCCCTCCCCATAGAAACCCTCCCGCATCGCCGATGGCGGCAGTAGCCAATGAAACGGGAGCCATGTGCCCACAGGCCAATAGGTGGTGGCGACAGTGGAGGGTGTGGTTGCTAAGGGGCTGGACCCGGCGCCCTGCCAGCCTTGCCACCCTAGCAGCGGCGTCTGGGGGTCTGGACGTGGGACGAGCTTGCACCTCGGAGCTGCGGGGGATGGAGGCCTCGCGCTACCGCCGTGGGCCCGGCGGGGATAGGTCAGCGGGGCATGGCGGCTGGTCTGCTCTCTTGAGAGGGGCGGAGTGGAATGGGGGGACTGACGGAGAATGTGGTCCTGAGTGGCCGCTCCCGGGGGACAGGGTGGAGGGCTCGCGGCTGGGAGGGAGGGACTGATGTGGCCTCAGCAGACAAGTCCTGTTTCCCCACTCTCCGTTTCTATCCCAGTTTAAAGGCAAATGGTCGGAAATAGCAGCTCTGCTGAGACTTTTGAGTCCCTGCTTGGAAAACTCTCGGACTGTTCCTTCCGAGCGGTCGTTGCCATCTCTGGGCCTCAGTCTTTCCTTAAAATGCATCAGCCCTGCTCCTCTCGCACTGCCTAGGGGGAGCAGAACTGAGGTTTGGATACCGTCTTTTCCGAGCATGTCGAAGCAGAAGGCTGTGGGCGATGTTTAGTGATTTGCGCCAATGAATGCCAATTGCTTTTGGCAGGCAGTGTTGAATTCTGGAACGGTGTCCGAGAGTTGCAAACGCAAAACTGCTCTTTTTTCTTTATCTGCTTTCTAGTAGTTATCTCTTATTCCAGATTGTCTTATTTGCGGATTTACCGTGACCCTTGTATGTGCTCTGCTTTCTGTACTGTTCCTCTTTTTCTGCCTCCGCCAGAGGGAGACCCTGGAAAAAGAAGACAGTCGGAAATCTCAGCCTGTCGAGTCCTTTTCTTTTAGCCAAGTTAATGAAAAGTTAATGAGGTGCCTTGTGAAATCATTGGCCCAAAACTTTGACATTGCCTTGCAATGTAAATCGTGCAAGCTAACGACATTCCTCATTTGTTATTCTTTTACCATAACAAAAGAAGATTTGACTAGTACATTTTAGACTAGTCAATATTTAAGTAATTTTGAGGACTCTTATGGCCTAGTGGCAAGAAGCTGCGATGCATTCCCGAAGGCAGGTAGTTCGAGGCCACCTGCTGGAGGATGGAATAGATTGAGAAGTTATGGTACATTCACCCCGTGGAATACTATATAGCACTCAGGAGCAATGATTTTGTAAATTACTGCCTAGTTTAGGAGGGACTGGACAGCGTTATTCTAAGTGAACTAACTCAGTCTCATAAAGGACAAATACTGTGCAAGACCATTATTGTAGAACAGGAAGGAGGATCCAAGGAAGGGAGGGGGAGCAGAGGGGAGAGGATGGGCGGGGGTGTGTGTGTGTGCTTAATCATAGGATGAACAATCTTATGTGTGGAAGGAGAGGTGGGTAAAGGAAAGAGGTAAAGATCCGGTGTGAAAAACAATGTATACAAACTTTTTAAGTAAACCAGTATTTTAAAAACCCAACAAACCTGCTGGGGGCCAGCTGTAGGTCGGTTCCAACTTGAAAGTACACAACAACAACGACAATCATTTTTAGAAATTGTCACATAGGACATGACGTAAAACACCTATTTTCCTTTTTCATCAAATTCTGCTTTGCTAAACTCTGAAATTTGTTCAAAGCGGTTTTGTTTCCCCCACATCAACATAAAAAAGAACCCACATTTACAAGTATAAGTGGAAGTACTGAAGGAAAGGAAAGTTACTATTCAGTTTCTCTGGTTGAATTGAGATGGTATCTTAATTGAATTATTTTAATGCAGTAAATTGGATTCTAGATGTCTGATGTTCTTAATGAATTTTGGGGGCAGGGGTAAGGAATTGACTTTGAAATTGGGACTAGGAAGTGAAGTATTTTCTAAATTATTGGACCTGAAGTCTAAAGGAATAATTTTCA